AAAAGAACTAAAAGATAATGGAATTTTGACAAACTTTGAAGCTCCCTTGTTTATGAGTAATACCAGTTTATAAGAAAGTTATTACCAACATATTGCTATATGAGATTGTTGGGTGGTCCTCAGGGAAATGTCTTCATGAGAATGGACATTCTGTTCAAATTTTTTGATCTACTTAACACCTAAATGGCAGTGAAGTTTGTAATGTTCTTCATATTGTCAAACAATGTTTCTGTTTACTTTTATTTGCTTTCTTTTTCTTGGAGGATCATTTCCTGGAGGTACCACATCTTTTATTTTAAAGCCCAGCTTGATACTCCCTTCTCTACTCTCAGAGCACCTTCAACATTTTGACCTGCATTCCTTTTTTAGGATAGGAGAGAAGAAAACTTCTAATATTTGCTAAGTGAATCTCTGTACATGGTAGAAAAGATTAGCAGATAGAGTGTCAGTTAATACAGGAAAGAAAATTACGCATTGTCTTATGACTGTGTAAACTCAGAGACTTTTGAATTAATTACTCTATGCTATAGCTGCATTTTTGAGTACCAGAGGAACACCGGGTAAGGTATATGGGTATATGTCTGGAAAAAACTGTTAATGATGGTTTAATTTTGTGGAGAATTATTGAGAATTCATGTGCGATTTCACATTGGCCAGTCCATACCTCTAAAGAAAAATTAAGGGCTCTCTTCCTTCATGAAACATTACACCACAATAACAGTGCTTGATTATCCATGATAGTGTACACATTTTTGTGACCACTAAATATCCTGTTTCTGAAGAATATTAAGCATAGAGGAAAATGTGTCAGTTGACATAAGTAGTGCAGTTCTGATTCCATACAGTAAAGTTTGGTGTATCTTTTCTCACCACCTCAACACCCAGAAACACACCACTAGAAAAATCTATATTAGATTATTAGTTTACTTTGGGTGTAGGTTTTATAGGTAAGAGCTTTATTTACTACTGTTTATTAGGGGTTCCTATGGAGATTAGGTACCATCAATTTTATTTTAACTCATAACAACCCCATGTAACAGTAAAACTGCCCTGAATTGGAAAGGAGACCTGCTATGGTATAGAAGGATGAAATCGTGTAGTGGGTGGGAAAGAATGAAAGCAGATATTAGAAATATTGACAGAAATACATAAAATTTTATGGCTCTATTGGGGAATACAGTATTTTTACCTTGGTGACTAAGAATTGGTGTAAAGAAAATCAAGATTAAGGATGGATAGTTTTTGAAGAAAATTTCAAAGCTATTAGGAAGCTGCGTGGGCATTAAGGAGACAGTCTCCATCAAATCTAGCTCTATAATTTTGTCAAATAGTTCTTAGGGAGACGTGAACTTTAACTGAAGCTATATTTTGTCATGTCCCAGAATTTTATTGCTTTATCAGGTAAATATGTTACTAAAAGGTTTTTTGTTTTTTTTAAATAGTAATTACCATTTGGGAAGTAGATCACAAAAGCCTTTCTTAGTCAGTTTTAGTAGGTGTGCTGCTTAAGTTTATGTGTAAACTTAGCTAGGCTATGATTCTCATTGATGGGCAGATATTTCATAGTCATTCTCCATCTTGTGATAGGATGTGAGCAGTCAATCCGTTAAAAGGGGAGTTTCCTTGGGCGATGGCCTCCATATAATATATAAGGATCTTCTAGCAAAGCTCACCCTCTGCTGATTGATTCTTCATCCAATTCATCTTTCTCTGACTTATGGTTCCTGTTAGGTTCATCAGTCACCACAACCATGTTTATCAGGAGGCGCTTCCATCCTGATGCTTGATGCATGAATTTGGAACTTGCCAGCCTTTACAACTGCATAAAATACATGTTTTTACTTCACTGGTTTTTACTTCTCTAGAGAACCAGGCTCACATAGTAAGGAAACTGCTGAGACCTGTCTACCATGTATTTAAAATACCAGGAACATAGTTTCAAACATCGAAGGAGCATACAAACCACCACATATGACAAACTGTGTGTTGCTTTGGTGCTTAGCAGGTCTCGGAGGATATGGAAGCTGACTGCCATATCTGTCTCCAACCAAACCACTGACCTCTGAGCAAGCAGCCAAGAACTTTAACCATTGAATCACCAGAGAGATCACTAAGACTGTGTTAACGTCCCGAAATATTCTGTCTTAAATAATGCCTGTTAGGGTGTGCACTTCACCCCACCATCACACCCCCGAGATCTAACAGGTTATGGGGTAGGGGTGGGGGCAGGTGGGCCTCAGGACCTTGCTACTGTATTGTAAGTATGCAAGGTCCTTTTCAGATTGATCATTGTGCTTTACTAATATCATCTCTGGGAATATGAATAAAAGAAATCTCAGGTTTGGGGGTTGCAAATACAAAAAGAGTTTGATAACATTTTCCAGAGCCTTTAGTGTGCTAATAGGCCTTGTGTACCTGTAAGATTGTCAGCCTGTGCCATTCTTTTATTGCCCAAGGAACTCCTTTGTGTTAGACTTAGCAGTCGCCGAGGAGGCTGATATTCTGTAGAATCGTTTTAAAGAATTGCTCTGCAGTGCTAGGCACATTAGGAAATGCATGGATAACTTTTCACCCTTAAAGTTCTTAAAATTTGCATACTTGCAACACTACTTCACAATTGCATGTAGTAATTAGGTGACTGAATGCAATCTGTACCTTTTCTCAACATGGGCAGGAAACAGGAGCTCTGATGGCATAGTGGGTTACAAATTGGGCTGCTAACTGCAAAGTCAGCAGTTCAAAACCATCAGCCCCTCTTGAGGAGAAAGGTGAGACTTTCTATACCCATAAAGATTTGCAGTCTGGGAAATCCACAGTAACAGTTCTGCCCTATATGGTCACTAGGTTGGTATTGATTTGATGGCAGAGAGTAAGGTAAGTATGCACCTAAAATTAGGGGAGAGCTGTCTTAACCAAATGGAGAAAGTAGTACATACAGAGTTTAAGTATTTGGGTAACTCTTTACTTAAGAGAGGATTGCTTAAAAATAATGAGTATTCTTTGATCATTCAAATGGGTTAATAGACAATTTGAGGGTTGTTTGTAATAGAGTAGGATTATATATATGCTTGGGAAATAATTAAAATTAAATCTTAGAGATTAACTATTTGACCTTAAAACAAAGGAGCAAAGAGAATAAGATACTTTATAGATTTTTAAACAGAAGTAATGTAACAAATATGCAAAGCCCATTAGTCAAACTAGCATTTTACTTACATTATGTATAAGAAAAAAATTACAGTAAGATCTTTGAAAGCAGGAACTTTTGTAACTTGTATAACCTGCTAGAGAAGGAAAGCAACTGTTTTACACTAATGAGCTATGTAGAAAAGTGGTAAGGTTGCATCCCGTCAAGGATTGAAAATTGGCAAGACCTGGAAAGAAAGGCAAATTCCACTGAGCTCTGGTCACCAGAGATTTCACTATGTATAGGAGAGTTACAGGTGAAAGTAAGAAGAGCCCTGGTAGGGAGTGTTTTTAAGTCTTCATTTGCTAACAAAAAGGTCTGGTTCAAAGCTTCCCCGGAGAAAAATGTGGCACTCACCTTTCGGGAAGATCTACAGTCTTTGAAACACTCAAGGGCAATTCTGTACTGTTGTCATAGAGGGTCCATATATCAGTGGGTTTTGGGGGGAGGGGATTTTGGTTTATAGATGAAATTTAATGTAGACCACAGGGATCATCAAATAGTAGCTCTAGTGTGGGTTTTCCATAGATCTCAAGATCTTTCCATAGATCTCACATTTCTTATCCTACATTTCTGTCAGGGAGGGACCTGTTGAGTAAAACCCAAACTTGATTGCCATGGAGTTGATTGACTCAGTGACTGTTGATCAGGGTAGAACTGTCCCATAGGGCTTCCAGGTCTGCAGTTTTAATGAAACTGCCACGTCCTTGCAAGCAGAGTAGCTGGTGGGTTCCATTGGCCACCTTTTCAGTTAGCAGCTGATCAGTTTGACCACTGTGCCACTTGGAGTTGTCCAAGCTTAATCTATGAGAACATAATGGAAAGGAATGTGGCTGTAAGTAGGAGTGGGGAGTGCTACATGCTGGTAGGCTGGGCAATAAGCAGTTTTAATGTTACATTCTTACTCTTAACTGCTAGTAGTTAACCTAAAAGCATGGTTTTAGGAGCCAAATGCAAATTCACGTAGTTAAACTATAAATCCTGACCCATCCACTTAAAAGCATCGTAACCTTAGGAAAGATTACATAACCTTTCTGAGCTTACTATCTTCCTCTGTAAAACTGACCATTTCTCAATAAGTTGTAAGAATTAAATGAAACAATCAATTCATAAAATTACTTTGACTAGGTTGGCTTTGACTTGTTTGGCAAGATGTTTGGGAGTAAAGTTAGCCATTGCTATTATCCATATATATTTGTATTTTCTGTTTTTTTCACTGGAGAGAGTCCAAGAGTAGGATGACTGTTTTGTTACATATTATGTGTTAAAACCAATAATGTTAACTGCATATTGAGTTATTGGCAACATGTTTTTAATCTTAAAAGGAAACAAGTAATAGCAGAAACCTAAACATGTGACATTTATTAGATATGAAAGACCAATTCTTAATGTCTTAGGGAAATGAGTCTCATAAAACTTTAGTTTTACAATTCCTATTTTTACTGTTTGAAAGTCTGATGCCACACATTAAATGTGTATTCATTTCCAAGTGTTCAATGTCTTCATCTTTTCTTTCAACATTAAAGTATGAAATAATCCCCAGTTTTTAAAAGATTATTTCAAAGCTGTAATTACTGCTCAGCACCTTGGACAGCATCCAGTGCAGCATGGCACAGGTGAACTCTGGCTTGAAGTTTGGGTTCTGGATTCAGGGAAGAAGATTGGGGGGAAGTTTAAAAACCTCATACATTCTTAACAGTAAAATTTATAAGATGCAGATGGCTTATTTCAGAATGTTTGACACTGCCTATAGAACCCACTTCATGCATTAGTTTATGTTAAAATGATCTAATATTTGTGTTTTAACTTTCAGCTTTGTGTTATTCTTGGAAAATTTCGCACCACTTGTGAATTCCTTGAACCTGGGCGTTGCAAACCCACTTCTGTTGGGCCCATCTCCTTTGCACTTTGCTCAGATTAAGACTCAGTTGGCGCTTCAGCAGCTGAATGCCGTTGCCTCACATGGTTCTACACCACCTTATCCTTTATTAAATCAGGCTTTCTTGAAAATAGCCATGTCGAGACCCAGGTTTAATCCTCGAGGCAACTTTATACTTCAGAGGCCACGAGCTCCTAACCCTTCTGGAATGAGGCTTCCAGGACCATTTATGAGACCTGGATCTATGGGACTTCCAAGATTTTATGCAGCAGGAAGAGCCCGGGGAATTCCACACAGATTTGCTGGCCATGAATCTTACCAGAATATGGGACCACAGAGAATGAATGTTCAAGTAACTCAACACCGAACTGATCCAAGATTGACCAAAGAAAAATTGGATTTTCATGAAGCACAACAAAAGAAAGGGAAGCTTCATGGTAGCCGGTGGGATGATGAGGCTCCTATGTCTGCCACGGTAGAAGTGAAACAGAGTTCTGTAGCACAGGTTACAGGGGAGAGCCCGAAAGTGCAAAGTCGCTATACAAAAGAGAGTGCCTCAAGTATCTTGGCAAGTTTTGGATTATCTAATGAAGACTTAGAAGAACTCAGTCGCTATCCTGATGAACAGTTAACTCCTGAAAATATGCCCTTAATTTTGAGAGATATCAGAATGAGAAAAATGGGACGCCGATTACCGAATTTACCTTCTCAGAGCAGAAATAAAGAAATAATCGGTGGTGAAGCTGTTTCGAGAAATGTGATTGACTATGGGCATGCAAGCAAATATGGTTACACAGAAGATCCACTTGAAGTTTGCATTTATGACCCCGAAATTCCAACTGATGAGGTCAAGAATGAATTTCAGTCACAGCAGAGTGTTTCTGCATCTGCTCCCTCTTCAAATGTGATATGTAACTCCATGTTTCCTGTTGAAGATGTGTTCAGACAGATTGATTTCCCCAGTGAATCTTCCAATAATCAGCCTTATTTTCCAGTTGAGCGTGGAACGAAGATGTCAGGCATACACATTTCAGGAGGACAGTCAGCCCTTGAACCTGTAAAATCCACAAGTCAACCTGTTAGCCAAACAGTTAGCCAGACGACGAGTCAGTCTGGTACTTCATCTGTGAGCCAGCAGTCTTTTTCTTCAGAGTTAATTTCAACTGTAAGCCAACGAGAACGGATCCCTCGTGAGCCAGTCATCAATTCTTCTAATGTTGGATCAGGAGGGAATAAAAAAGACTACCGGTCAGAGGCTGACGCTCCCATCCAGTCTCCTTTTGGGATTGTGAAAGCATCATGGCTACCGAAATTCTCAAGTGCCCAGAAGATGAAGAGACTTCCAACTCCTTCTATGATGAATGATTATTATGCAGCGTCTCCAAGAATATTTCCACATTTGTGTTCTCTGTGTAACATAGAATGTAGTCATTTGAAGGTGAGTGTTTTTAAAGATCACTGTATCATGATACTCAGCGCCTGTTTCTTGTAAATTTTTGATACATATGCTGGTGTCAACTAAGCATTATGGAAATGGCAGATATAAATTTTCTTTCAACATCAATACTTAGTTGTACTGTATTGGTAGCCCTGGCCTAAGTACTGAATTGAGTTTTAGATTTTTCTGAATTTCTATTATTGGGCATTTCACACTGGTTCCATTTATTTTGAATTTTTAATTAGTTATGTTGAATCCCAGAAAATACTTATACAACATTAGCTACATATTTATGACTATGTCACCTGAGTCACCTTTATATAAATGAGAATTTTACATAATGTTAGTGTGGCAATTCTAAGATGTTGACATATTTGTACTACAGTCTTGTAAGAGACACTGTATTAGAGCCTTGAGTGTATCTACCTATTTTGGGATAAAGTCAGTTAATGTGTATTTAAATAATTTCTGACTCTATACCGACTAGTGGTTTTTAATGTCATGTGAGAGGGTGCTTCCTAAAATAACCTTAGTCCATTGAAAAGTTTGAGTCAATGTGAGTGAGCAGTTATAAGTAGGAATAAAGTATAAAAAGATAGAAATTTGGGCTTAAGAAGAAAGACAATGTTTGGAAAATGATGATGGCAACATATGTAAAGGTTCACTTGGCATAATTGATTTATGGATTGTTATAATACCTGTAAGAGCCCCCAATAAATTTTTTAAAAGAAATTTTAAGGAAAAGAATTTTTAGAAACCCTAGATACTTTTATCATTGTACAGTTACATAGTTGCAGAAGTACTGAAGAGTACATTAGTGGCATAATGTAGAATATACTTAACTGTTTGGTGGTTAACATTTGTAAATTGGGCAAGGATTTTCAAGTATGTTCTATCACATGCTTGGAAGCCGCTTTTTCTAGTTATTGGTGTATACATATATATACACTGAGGTATAAGTATGCTTCCTGACCGTAGATTACAAAGGGTCAAGAGAGAATGTACCATAGGAATAAGCTTTGGTTCAAGGCTATTGCATTGGTTGTGTACTTTGATATACAACTCTATAGTTGATAAGCTTCATAGTGGTTTTTCTTCTTCCATTGCTGCCAACAAGACCTCCTAAGGTTAACTCCAGCCAATGAAGTCATCCTTGCTGTGTATCATGTAGCAAGATAATTCTCATTTTAGCCATATTTGCTGAGTTCTAATAAATTAATTGTCTTACTCCTATTAAAATAAAGGGATAGCAAAGTCTTTCCCTTGAAAAATCTAATTCATAGAACTTAGTTGTCATCTTTAAGTAGGTCCAGTCTACATACTAAATAAAATATTGAAATCTCTATTGTTGTGAGTGAGCACAAGCCCTGAATTTAACCATTTATTTTTAAATTGTAATTAGTCATGGTGCGAAGCCCAGATAAAGAACTTGATGTTTTAATTTTCATTCTGTAGCATAGAAAAGGTACACATTTATTGAGTAAATATTTAAAGATGACCGAAGACTAACTAGATTAGGTGCTAGGATCCCTGGAGGCACCATGATTAAGCTTTCAACTGCCCCAAAAGAGTGGGTAGTATCAGCCACTCTGCAGGAGAAAGATGTGGCTGTCTGCTTCTTTCAAGATTTACAGCCTTGGAAACCCTGTGGGGCAGTTTTACTCTTAGAGTCACTGTTGAGTTGCAATCGACTTGATGGTAATTGAGTTTGATTTATATTAACTCTGGGCAGAAAAAAGCTCTATAAAATTTTACTCCTCTGCTTTAGCAGTTTATTCTGTTTCATTGGGGGGAAATACTATACATTCAAAAAGTGAAACATGAGTGCACAGCAGATGATTCTGTAATTATATTCTTGTTTGAATATGCTATTGGGAAGAGATTTAATATTTCTGTCTCAGTTTCAGGTTTATAGCATTAATAACTTAATATTTGCTGTATATCAATATAATAAATATATTCCCTGCCATCAGGGCTTTCTATAGTCTAGGTAGATGGTGAAAATGGCTAAATGCGAAGTCTTCTGGACTAGAGTAGTGTGGGAGGGAAAACTTTTTTTTTTTTTTTTAATTTTCTTTTTTTTTAACATTTTATTAGGGGATCATACAACTGTTATCCCAATCCATACACACATCAATTGTGTAAAGCGCATTTGT